GTGATCGACAATCTCAAATCGCGTGCCATATGGTGTTTCACTGAGCAAGGTTGGTGTGCAGGCAAGTAGGAAACGATCAACGTCAGTGCACCGAGTCGCGTTCAGTTTCAAACGACAGCAAAGAGAGAGAGAAAGAACCCCTTTCGGAACGTACTGCACATAGCCAATCAGCATGTCGGCCTTCTTGCGAGCAACGGAGGAAGGCTTTCGAGCAGGTTGGTTGGTGCCGAGCAGAGTGCACGCATACACCGAGACATTCAAGGCAGCGTAGTTGATGGAAAAGTCCACAAACAAATCTGCCGGGAGTCGAGGGTTGAACGCGTTCTGGGAGGTTGTGATCAGACAAACCAAGAGCATGGAGGAATCGAGGTGAGCGACAACAATGCAGAAACGCGTTGGTGGAGAAAAAGAAGCCAATGGCATCAAGACGCCTGTTGGTTCCGTTACCAGCTGTAGATCATCGATATTGTAGGGGAAAAGATTGGATTGGAACAACAGCTGATCCTGGGCTTTCCGCAAGAAGGCCATAACGCGATCCATGACCTGCGGTTTGTGGAAAATATCAAGTCAACGAAGGAAACGCGTCAAAAAGCAAATAGGCAACAAAAAAAAAACACACAAATACGCACCGATTGAACTTGTTCCCGGGTGTGAAAGAGACCATGTTGCAGACTAGAATCATCCAACTCTGACAGTGCCAACTGAACATAGTTGGTGGCGTTTTGGATCTGAAAATCGCACAAACACGAAACGTCAGAGACGGGCCAAAAACCCTGAAGTCGACAGCTAATAGGACTGACACCAAGGACCACACTCACCTGAGATAATATCCAGGGCTCCTTTGATGTGATGGAGGTCGATATTGGCAGAGACTTGTTCCACTTGGAGAACCTGACGGTGACATCCTGTGTGGAGAAACGCGAGTGTAAGTCCCTTGGTAAGGGTACAGATGGCGGGCTTGAAATCAAGTGAAATCGCCTTACCGCTTTGATGATGCGCGATCCCTCGAGCATGGCAAATCCTTTGACAGAATCACTGCAGAGCGAAAAGTGAAACGAAATGACAAAAAAAATGAGCAAAAACCCCCAATGACAGGTCCTCAATGCCAAGCGCTCACACAAGCTCAAATCGTTTTATCTGTCTCTTCATCATGATGTCGACTCACGATGTGTTGGTGATGGGAGCAGTGAAGACGCTTGCCTGAGCCACGGCAGACGAGACGCCGGACGGTCCAGCGAGCGTTTGCGCGCAGTCCTGCTCAACGAGCCGCACAGAGCAGCAGCAACACACGCACAAGCACACACACAAACACGATTGTCAATGTCAGAGAGTGACGAGCGATGACTGAGGCTCAGTTAACAACCGACCTTGAGCATGAGCCCGAGCTGCATAAAGACGGCAGGCACCTCCATGCGAAGCAGCCACTCGAGCTCCTTGTGCTGAGTCAATACCAAGCGAGTGAACAGCACAGCCAGATGCAACCCCATCGACAGACAGACAGACAGACAGACAGTGAGCGAAACGAGCCGTCATCCCTCAATCTCAATCTCGCTCTCCCCCCGCCCCAATAGTCAAACGCGGTCACCAACACGACGTAAGCTCAAGTTGCGAGGTTTGGTTTATGCTTTGCTGTTGTACCAGGTTGGACTTTTCTTGAGCGATGAGCTCGGTGGCGGACAAGTCCTCGCCCCAGTCCGGAGCGAGAATCGACGTGACGCTCGGCGTTGCTGACATTTTGCAATTGGAAACAACCGAAAGAAGAGTGGAAAAGATGCGATGGACAGAGTACGCATTCGTGTCCACGAATTCGAACAAAGTGAAGAGCGAAAGGTAGAGAAATTTATCTTTTTGGAATGTACGACACTGGCCCAACTTTTTTCGACCTTTTTCCCCTCGTTTTGGTCGTTAGCATACCCTCGGCTCATTGTGACTACTTCCACCGCATCTCCCACTACCCTGCCTTGTATAAAGTACATATTTTAAGTTTATTAATAGGAGCGGCGGGCAGAGCCAGCAGCGACGACGTAGTTGGACCGAGAAGTGGAGGAATCGGCGTCGCCGGTTTTGCCCCGTTCATTCCGTCGTCTTGGGTTGCTCAGGTACCGCCTCTCCACCATTTTCTGATCTAAAATAGCAGTTTGATGGCATTTCTAGGCGGACGGGCCGAGCCTGAGAGTGGTTGGGTGAGAAACGGGTCGTTGTTGCGGTGTGTGTCGATCGCGCCCAAGCAAGTTAACATCAGCACTTCCCAACCATCACCATTTGCATGCAACAGTAATATTTCGCACAAAATAACACTACACATTCAAAACAACGTTCGCGGAACACAGGCGGCGTGCCAGCGGGCCAATGCTGGCACGCCGATCCAGAACGCTTCCAGCAAATCAGTCCTCCTCAGCAGCAGTCACCCGCCGTCGCGTTCGACGTTGCCGAGGCGAACGAGAAGGACTTGTAACACTGAAATCGCTGTCGCCGGCCGCTGTCCAGGAGGGAAGCTCCTCGTTCTCCGAATCGTTTCCCCATCTGGCATTCGGAGGCAACGAATCCAAAGTCACCTCGTCAGTTTCAAGCCGCGGGCTGTTGGCTGCTAGCGAGCGCGGCTGGTTTGTAGGCGGGGCGCGAGCCCATTGGGCAAGCCAGGACTTGACGTGAGGGAAATCAATCTGCAACGCCCGGCAGCGCAATTCTCCATCCTGGTCCATGACGAGTTGCAAAGCGTCCGCAGGCAAGATGCGATCATTTTTTGCTCTCGCGCACTCAAACAGGAATCTGATGGGTGCTCGTGCCTCTTCGGTTGTGCGATTCACGGGAACAGGCTCTGTAACAAAACCTTCACCAGCAGGAAAGAGGCTCTGCAACTTCGCCAGCTGCGGTTCAGTTGTTGTGAAATCATGTCGAAACAGCGGTTGGCTGGCTTTGGCCGAGAGTGCACGCATCGAGGCCGGCATCGTCATTGGCTCTGGCGAGGACTCCTCGCCGCAAGTCAATACCCAGGCCGAGCTTGCCCCTTCTGAAGATGCAGCGGCTGTAGCTTCATCCTCGTCTGAAAAAGAGTCGTCTGTGGTAGCCACTTTCTTCCGCGTTGGAGGCAGTTGCCGATTGCGTGCCCATCAATTCGCTTCCCGGGTCGTCTTCAGGAAGCCCTAGTTCAGCATTGGAGGCGACCGCACAGTCTTGGATGTGACGACTCAGCCAGGCAGAGCTTTTGTACAGCTTGCTGCACTTCGGACATTGGAGGTTGGGAGATTTGCTCGGAGTGGGCGGAGTGAAAACAAGTGACTTGCGCGTCTTGGACTGGGGTCCACACGTCTTGGTCCCCTTCATCAACACTGGCGCTGCATTGATGGTGTGGAGCATCGTTGGTGTGAATTGAAGGGAACCGTTCAGTGGGACTTGATTGGATGGAGTGCGTGGTGAAGCTGGAGAAATGGCAGCAGTCTCGGGGGTCGCTGCACCAACGGCAGCGGTCTCGGAGGTCGCGGCAGAAACGGCGACGGTCTCGGACGTCGCGGGAGAAACGGCGGCGGCCTCGGACGTCGCTGTACCAACGGCAGCAGTCTCGGGGGTCGCTGGAGAAACGGCAGCAGTCTCGGGGTGGGAGTCTCGTTCACGCCGAATCTGGGCGTGGTGTTCGGCGTTGTTGCTCCAATGCGGACTGTTCTGCTGGCCAAGGGTCAGGTGCGTCGAGAAGTCGTGGCGATAGACTTCTCGCAGCCGCTCGCCAGTGTACTCGAACAGCATGCAGCGGTCGCTCAGTCGGAATCCCTGCATGCCACCGTTGTTGTACACGATGTGACCTGCCTGATCCAGAGTTGGGATACTCTTTGGGACCTTTTGAAGGCGGCGACGCGTCGCTTCGTCAATGTGCAGCTGGTGGACAGTCGTTCCTGGCATCGTAGCGAGCGCTGATACGTGTCCAGTCAGCAAATGCAGCCATAATCGATTCAAACAAATGGAATACATGAAATACAAGGCCCTACCTTTTTCGACATCCATGCCGTTGTTAATTGAGTTGCCACCTTTCATGAACTCGCTGAACTTTGCGCTGACGTGCGCAAAGTGAAGGTCGATGCGTGACTTGCCTGTTTGAAATGTACAACTTATCAGTACGCTTGAAGATTCGGGGATCGACAGCTCGACATGCTCCTCACCTTCACCAGCCTCGAAGTGCCAAAGGTCGGTGATGTCGAAACTCGCTTGAGTATGCATCTTACTGGATAGGAAGACGCTGAATGGCGAGTTGACGTAGTGTGCACCTGCGTCTGTAACAACAGAGGCAGTATTGATTCTGGGACGAGCGGGCGGTGAGAGAAATGCGACAAACAGTTTTCGCGACAACACTGCTCTTACGGTGGAACTCGTCCCTCTGTGATCAGCGAGTTGATGACTGCAAACACAGCTTGCAGATGATGGATGATCAGAATCCAGTCCTGTTTTTCATCGGGCAGCCAGGCGTCGAAGTGAAGCATGGCTACTTCGTTCGTGCTGGGTTGACGGAAAAAGAACACTATTCCATGAAAAGAGATCCCAGTTTTCGCGAAAAAAGCTTGGCTGCTCTGACGATAGTTATCTGGCATGATTTTCATCTGTTAGCAGGAAGAAGGACGACAGAGTTTCGAAGCTCGTTAGGACAACAGATCGCGGAAAGTTTTTGGCTGTTCGAAACTCACTTTGAAATCACACAAGAACACAGCTTGACCGGGACCTAGGTTGTTGATCGTCTTGTTGATGAGGGATCGAGTATGAGCCGAGCGGAGAAGGTGCGCCACCCACTGCTGAAGAGTTTGGCATCCTCGCTCCAGGATGGTCTGCATATCGGCGCATTCGCCGGGGTTTTGAGGGAGATGGGCGTCGATGTGCAGGCTCAGATCGGCAAGGGTAGTGAGGCCTTGGGTGCAGATTGGGCACGGCTGGGGACTGCTGAGCACGCCGAGGTGGTGCTGCTGCTGGCAGTCGTCCAACCCGAATGCGAGGCAGTGGAAGGGGTGGTCGTAATGCTTGGTTGGATCAGCTGTCAAAGCGAAAAGATGGTCCCTCAGCCCTTGTAGACGCAGCCCTGCCGTATGTGCGTCCGGAAAAGCGATCGTCAATCGTTCCAGTTCTTGCAGCAGAAAAGGGATATCCTCGCTAAAAACCGCGAACGCTCGGTGGCAGTTGCCGCAAAGTCCGTTTTCAGGAACACGCCGCTGGAATATAAACTCTCCTGCGTGTAGAGCGCGCTGGAACACGCTCCAAGAGCACAGGAGGCCGTTTTTCTGGGCGTCTTCGTGCATCTTCCGCATCGATGTTTCCAGGTAGACGATAGGCTTCGCCTCACCAGTGACAGGGTCCACCTTTGTCTTGTGAGCACTGGGAACTGAGTGATCCAGCGTGAATGCGCGGACGCTCGCATCTAGAGGGCGCGACTTGCGCGGCGTGGCTGGCGTCCGCTGAGCGATTTGGCCAACTCCATAGTGCAGATTGTTCGCGCGCGCCTGTTGCACAGCGTAGCGCGTCACACCAGGCATGGTTGCTAATATGTCCTTGGTTTTGTGATGGGCGACCGTTCCAAGAAGCTGCGGTGTCTGGTCTGGAAGAATGGGCAGCAGTTCTGCTGTGCACTGCAGGCGGATCTGGGCCACTGTGCCAGCTGTGACAGATGGCACGTATTTCTGCGCAGCAGCCTGAGCTGTTTCGGCAACCAGAGCGTCGTCATGGCCATGGACCTGCGCGACAGCAGCGACGAGAGCTTCGCAGCCAAGCTGCACCGCTTCCTCGCGCCGGCGTTTCGCTTCACGGGAGCCGGGGACCAGATCCTCTGTGGCCTTTCTGCGCGATCTGACGGGGGTTGCAGCTGCTTGCAATGGTACAGGGATAGGCTCGGATGTGGGAGCTTCAAAAGTCAAGTAGGCGGCAGGCGGCGCGGGACTTGCAGCCGCGGCGATGCTCTGCCGCCGGCGGGGCTTGCGCGATGATGCTTGAGCCTCTTGAAGTGCATGGAGGTGCCTTTGGACGGCTTTGATGGCCTGGTAGATGGCAGAGAAGTGAGAAGATTTTCGCGCCAAAACACTTCGGCACCTTCACCCCCCCCCCTGCCTTCGCTTCTGCGTACTTGTTGCTCCCGATATTCATCTCGGCGCTTCATTCGTAGTCGTTCAGCCGCTCTGGCATTGTTCACCGGATCAAACACACTTCGTTTGGACCGAACCATCAACGATACAAAAGTTTCGGAAAAATCGATCTCACACGGCTGCTGCTCGGCCACGAAAAAAGACTGCATATGATAACAGGTGATAAAATAGGTCGGCGTCTGCAATGGCAGCGGTGGACAGTGAATAGAACTCTCAGGGCAGCGTTTCTAGAGGTTTTTGGGCCAAAAACAGGGTATAAAGCTCGTCCAAAAATGGAAGTTTTCGCTCTTCAATTCCACCTTTTCGACCACCCCAACGATTCTCGGTGCGCTACCCGCCCCAAATACTAGACGCTACAATAAAATCGTATTGTCAACACAGTGTGGGGGTAGAGAGGGAGCCAGATCGAACTGGCTCGAACTTTTTTTCTCGAAACCGACAAAGGTCGAAAAAAGTTGGGCCAGAGATAAATCTTTGTCGTTGTCGGGTTCAGTCTCGTTTTGCCTGAGCGTTTTGTGAATGCAACGATGATTATCTGGTTTATCATTGGCGCGGTCGGCGTCAAATGCCGCGACTTCAATTTTATCCGATTGTTGATTTCTCAGTCGCCCTTTTGTTTCTCTCTCCTTCCTTTGAGCACAAAATGCAAGTGACGGACGACGGCGGCGATCGTTCAGCCAACGACGACCATGGCGGCAATGCAACTCCAGCCAAATCCAGCTCCAATGCAACTCCAGCGAATTCGTCGTTTTCTTCCTCTTCTTCTTCCTCTTTCTCTTCGTCCGCTGCCACCGCTGCAGCTGATCGCAAACCTGCCAAACACGATGCCGACGACGACGACGACGATGACGATGACTGCTCGATGCTGGCGGCGGCGCGGCGGCACACGCGGCAGCAGCTCAAGGCTGATCAGAACGCGCTCGGCTCGTCGTGCCCGTACCTCGACACGGTCGATCGCTCGCAGCTCGATTTCGACTTTGAGAAGGTCTGCTCAGTGTCCCTGAGCGATTTCAACATTTACGCCTGTCTGATCTGCGGCAAGTACTTTCAAGGTAAGCTTCCAATCCAATAATCAATGCGGCACCAACAGTGATCCCGCTTTCGCTTGGCTTGCTTCGCTTCGACTGGAACCGGATCTCGAATGCTTCAGAGCTTGATGCTGACATGAGGATGGCATTGTTTGGGTTTGAAAACAAAAAACGCAGGTCGCGG